GATTCTAATAGAAATAAGAAAAAAATTCATGAAGCCCTAAAAAAATTGAATAATTTTAATGGTGAAGACATTTCCTAGAGGTTTAATTCATAAAAATTTCCTTCTTATTCAGACTGCAAAGGATTAAGCGTTTCTTCCTGTTTTTTTTTTAATTTGGAATTCTGCAAACCCGCCTTATCATTGACTCCATCGATCTTCAATTCAGCTTGAGCGATAAAATAGTAGTCCTTAGTAGGCTTGTTCAGCAACAGGTCCTGAAAGGAATTTTGCAATCACACTGTAAGCAGGCAGTGAAATAATTGTCTACCTTAGTAAGACTAGGCACATGTCCGGAGAAAAGCTGGTAGAAAATATGGTAACAACGTTCACCGGGTGCTTGACGAATTACACGGGATTTTTCCAGTAGATCTAAAATATTTTTTAAAACTTAGTTCAAGTAAATCAATAGCGTAAACAACGTACAATGTTCAATATCGCAAGATGCGACTCGTCCTTTGTTTGAGAAATGAATTCGAATGAATTTTCCGAAACGAGACGAGTTGTTGTTTCGTACAGTCTTAGCATTACCTGTAAAAATCTAATTAATTTCAGTTAAATTGGATTTGTGCGAACTTTCGCGTTCCAAACGTACCAAAAGCCTCCAAGACGGGGTTGGTCTGAACAATTTGATCCTCTAGGGTGACCTTCTTTCCCTCTGGAGGAGCTGCTCCTTCCTTCTTGCCGAACATCTCTTGTTGAGAGGCACCAACGGCGGCGAAGTAGGCAATTACCTAATTTTAATGTATAACCAAAATTTCCACAAAAATTTTCAAAATTATTCAAAAGAGCTTTCAGCATCAGCAGAAAACATGCGTATATTATGCAGTGTAATGGACAATGAGATTTGAAACTTTTAAGAATCTCAAAAAATTGTGATACATCTTATCAATAGAAAATTTAGTAAAAACTGTTTTTTTTTACATCTTGCATTTACAAACTTTGCCTTCTTGAAAATGTTGAGATGTATATTTTATGAAATGAAAGATACAACTTGCACTTAACGGTCATGAATTTTTTGCTTTAAATTTAAATATGAAAAAAAACCTTAAGAGCAATCACTAAATTAATGTTATTCTCATACTTACCT